GCTCTACATGTTGTGATCATGTGAGTGCTACATGTTGTTGTGATCATGTGAGTGCTACATGTTGTTGTGATCATGTGAGTGCTACATGTTGTGATCATGTGAGCCCTACATGTTGTTGTGATCATGTGAGCTCTACATGCAGGATCCAAGCTCTGCTGGATAGAAACACTGGAGCGGAGTCAGTGAACTGCTGGAACGGACTGATAATATCGGAGCACTTATATCAGACATTTTTTATGCAGGGCGATAAAATCTGTTACTCGTTTTTTGGCTGATATTGGACCGATATCAGATATCAATATTGGATCGGGACACCCCTAATTAACAGGATTGTTCTGTGGTTCACTGCCTACCTGTTCCTGCTAGGATCCCCTCTCATCTTTCATTCCATCTTCCAGATGTCCTCACACACCCTCTGCTCCTCGAACACAACCCTACTTCACAGTCCCAGGACTCGTACCCACAGTCTGATGCTACGTTCACACTGAACGTGTTTTGAGCAGCAAAAAAGTACACAACACCTCCAGCTGGACGCACTATGTTCAGACCGGACACAGAGCAGACGTGCGTCTGAAGAGGGAGGAGCGTCTTGGTCTTTTTCCGGTCTGTCCTCACTGGATGAAATAAAGATAAAAATAAACAATATGTCTTTGATTTATTTACTAAAGAGCAAGCAAACGTTGCGCACAGCAGATAATTAATTCACCAGATGACTTAGAGGCGATTTGTTTGGTTAGTTTTGTCACTCCAGAAGCTGCCAGCTCCCGGACCCTTTATTTATTTATTTTCTCAAGCAGCTGACCCACATCGGTACTGATATATCCTGCCAGAAAATCCAACTGCAGACGGTCGATTTCAGCTAAAGAGATCTTGTCCGTGTGTTTTGGTTCAGTGGGCAACATTCAGGAAACCATCACGTGGAAAAATGAGTCTCTCTGATTGGCTGTCGAGATGCGTTGAGTGGCGAAAGTTCAGATTTTTGAACTCGGGCGTCAGCTTCTTTCAACGCAACTCATGCACGCGCATTCCTTGTGCGCCGCATCAAACGTACGTGACGCACCACACGACCCCTAGAGATGTGTCCACCGTAGACTTTGCAAGTAAACTGGCTGCTCCTGCAGCTCAAAACGTGTTTGGTGCGAATCCACCATTAGTGAGCAGACGTGTTGTTGTGCTGCTCCTCCTCTGAGGGCTCCACAGACTGTGGCTTGCTTCAGACTGCTTTTAATCATTTCCTTTTAATTCATGTGTTTTCTTTAATCTTTTAATGTGAAGTCTGTATGTTATGGTCCTTGTTTGTTGCTGTTTTATATGAAATGGTTTGTTGATTGTAGCACTTTGAGTTTTCTCTAAATGCAAAGTGTGTTATAATCAGGGCTTAAAGTTCTCTGTGGCCACGATGGATTTCCATCATCTGTAAGGGAGGGGAAAAAACAACTCTGTTTTTCTGTTGCGCTCTTTTTAAAGCCACCCCAGTCCATCCCTAAACGCTCCACTACTTTCAACAAATGAAACAAACCCCAGAGCACTATCCAATCAGAGCAGAGCAGGGCGGGTCAGTAAAGCAGCAGGTGAAGCAGTCTGCAGGAGCAGTGGTCAGTCCTGAGTGAAACCTCTCCTCCCTCATTTTGCTCCTTGGACTTTTGTTTATAAAACCTAACTTTATATTAAATATTTGTGCACGACTAACCCTAACTCTCAGTGTTTCTGATGGTTTAATGTGAGAGAGAATAAACCGATATATTTACAGAGGAATATACAGTATATTTCAGTCAAAAGAGTTTTAACCCATGTATAATAAATGTATTCTTGTTGTTGTTGTGTTTCAGGAGGTCATAACGCACGAACATGTGGTCGCCATGATGAAAGCAGCCATCAGAGACACTCAGGACCTGCCCCTGTTTGTGAGTCTGTGTTTGAGACTTTGAGTCTGTCTTCATTACAAACTGTGCAGTGGACCAAAGTGCTGTACAGAGTCAACATTAAAAATGATTCCAACAATAAAATGGGATAAAACATAAAATCTGATCAAATAAAGGCAGGTAAACTTTAAACAGTGCAGAGAGGTTAAAGTCAGGGAGGTGGGAAACAGCATTTTGTGTCCTCTGTTGCTGGTTAGTGGAGGACCAGCTAACCTTGAGACAAAAGACATTACAGTGGTGTCTCCTGTTGAGACATGTCTCTCAGGAGACGTCACGTCACAGTATCTGTTGTCCACGGTTCATGAGGTTCTGTCTTCCACCAGGAACCAAAGATGACCCGGTCCAGACTGAAGCAGGCTGTTCAGCAGGGACAGGTGAGGTGGACTTTGGTGTTCTGTAGATCAGAAGCAGCATGTTGACCCTGGTTTGTTTGTGTGTTTGTTTGTTTGTTGTTTGTTTGTGTGTTTGCAGTCTCTGGAGTGGAACCTGACAACAGTGAACACAACAAAGGTAAATGAACCTGGTCCAACTGTCGGTTTCTGGTTCTCTGTTTCGGACTGACTCTTGTCTGCTTCAGCCACCACAGTTTGTTGACATCCATCTTGAGGAGGATGAAGACTCATCGGATGAAGAGTACTGTCCTGATGGAGATGATTATGAGGATGAGGAGGAGGAGGAGGAGGTGAGATAATGCTGACGGTAGCTGCAGAGGTGTTCAGTTTCTTCTCTCATGATGCTGTTCAAAGATTGATCCAGTCAGGTTCAGATGTGTTGCAGACCAGTTTGTGTACTTCTTGTTAATAATTATTATCATTTATTTAAAATGACTGCAGCTGCATGAAAGCCTCCAGTTCATCTCTAAAAGCTAACTAGCACCCAGTGAGTTTTATGTTTAGAATAAGGGGGAAGAAAATGTCTAATCACAATACTTTTATACAATTAATACAATTCTGAGGGGCTTATGAACATTTTTCTTCCAGAACTGTTGACATTTATGATTTTTATGATTTTGCATGTGTGTGTCTTCGAGGAAAGACGAGGTAGTTGATGTCAGTAGTAGCTATTAGCTAACATCGGGACATAGCTTCATCAGTCTGAGCAGTGATGGCTGAGCCACTGATAAAGAATTGTCCTCGCTGCTTTTTAAATATCCCTTAACATTCAGACCTAAAATACCATAAAAATGAACAAATGTGTCAAACGGAACGTGGTTGTTAACATACACATCTGATTTGTGGCCATCTACGCCCAACGTCAATGAAAAATGCTTTGATAAACAGCAACAGTGTATCCTTCTAATTGTAAACATCAGCCAAGCGGAAATATAGAACTTGCTTCCACTATGATTTGTGGGTAGTGGCATGAAATCAGGAATACTGTGGATATGATGCGTCAACACCAGAGGGCGCAAATTAACAGCTTTCTTTGATGCACCGAATTTATAGTTGTGTTTTTGTCTGTGTACTAACGTTGATGTTCGCCCCGGTGCCATACTGGAACTGAGTTTTGGTACCCAACCCTAAACAGGTCTATAGATAAGATGTAGGTCTATAGATTATATTCATGTCTATAGATTAGATATAGATCTATAGGTTAGATATAGATCTGTAGGTTAGATTTAGATCTATAGGTTTATAGGTTAGATATAGGTCTATAGGTTAGATATAGGTCTATAGGTTAGATATAGGTCTATAGGTTAGATATAGGTCTATAGGTTAGATATAGGTCTATAGGTTAGATATACAG